GGGGGTGGGGTTACAGAAACATTTAACATTCACTGTTAGATGTTTCAGTTTCATCTCTGTGTTCAGACACAGGCCCAGGACGTGGTCAGCAGGGCTCAGCACAAGCACTGGAAGTGGAGGGAAACTGTTAGCCTAGCTTAGCACAAACACTGGAAGCGGAGGGAAACTGTTAGCCTAGAGTTATCGAACCCTCCAACAGCTCCAAGTGTGTTTGATTGACATGTTTCTGGTCGGATGAACAGGTTCACACCATGGAACAAAAATCACTTCAATATCAATAATCAATATTTAGAAACCAGTCATCAATATGTACATTAAGACAGCAACACGACTGTATCTGTGGTTAATTAGACTCACCAGTCCAGGAGGTAGAGGTCAGGAGTTACACCTACAGACTGGAAGTAAAGGAAGAGAAGAGGAAGAGTCTCCTTCAGGAACACCTGGAAGGCCCCGAAATACCTGTACATCTGCAGGTAGAAGGAGACAGTGAGCTACGTCCAACAACACACACACACACACACACACACACACACACACACACACACACACACACACACACACACACACAAACACACACACACACACACACACAAACACACCAGTGGCTGGTCCACTCTGTAGAAAGCCAGCTGACAGGGTCTATTGATCAGGTTGGAGAAACTGATGAAGGCTTCGACTTCGTCCATGTTCAGGATCAGAACAGCTGCGATGGAGGACATCCCCGTGACCTGGACGAGAGACATACACACACACTGTGAGACAGAGAGAGAGAAACTGTGATGGATCCTGCTGGATCAGCCTGAGGGGGGGCAGAGGGAACCGGACCACAGTCATACACTTGATGTAGAACTGTTTACAAGTCTTTAGTCCAAGTCTCATGTCATCTAGTCCACATGAATCCACATGAGTCCAGGTCAAGTCTGGGATCACTGTGTGTGTGTGTGTGTGTGTGTGTGTGTGTGTGTGTGTGTGTGTGTGTTGATATGTGTGTGTGTGTGTGTGTGTGTGTGACTCACATATCCCACATCAGGTCTGTAGCAGGTGTAAGCTCCCAGAATGCTTTGCAGCAGGTCGTGGTAAGGACCACCCTACAAAAATAAAAGTCTGAATTCACTTCCTGTCTCTGCAGCTTAACATCCTGTTTGACTCGACTGTCTCACCTGCTGAAAGACGCACAGCGATGGAAACGTCCTGGAGACGTCCTGGGTGATCAGCTCCAGACTGGACTCTCTGTCCGACAGTGACGCTGTGTCTGCAGGTAATCGTCTACAGGTGAGTCGTCACCAGGTGAGTCGTCACCAGGTGAGCCAATACCAGGTGAGTCTCTGTGTCTCAGTGTTTCTTACCGTCTGTCTCTGTCTTAGTGACGATCCACTTCTCCTTCACTCTGGAGAGGAAGATCTCATACAGCTCTGAGAAGGAGGAGGAGGAGGAGATGATTACCAGGTGTTGCACGTCTCAGGTCAGTGAACATTGCCCCCAATCTTGTTATTACCTGCAGTGATGTTGAGCTCATTGCTGATGGCGAGGCACCACACTCGCCCCCGGATGCTGGAGGGTAAACCCCCCCACCACAGGTCCTGAGCACGCCGACTGGACCTCCTGAAACACAACAGGAGGTCAGGGAGAATAACACACACACACACACACACACACACACCCACACCCACACACCCACACCCACACACACACACACACACACCCACACCCACACCCGTCCCCACACCCCCACACCCCCACCCCCACCCACACCCACTGTGGTCCTACATGGCATCCCAGTGTGGCAGGATGTGCTGGTTCCAGACCATGGTGGCATTGGAGATCTCTTCCTCCTGTCTGAACCTCTCCTTCATCTGCTGCTGCCTCCGCTGAGCCTCCTTCAGCTCTGACAGGGAGGAGGACACAGACCAGGTCAGGGAGAGCTACTGAAACAACCCCACTCGTGTGGGAGGTGCAGCAGGTCAAAACAAACACACCTCTCCTCTTGGCTCCAGCCACCATCTGCTCGTACTGCTGCCGGTGTCTCTGCGTCTCTTCAGCCGACTTAGCGGGAAGATTCCTGCACAAGCACAGTCAGGACATGCTGAGACAGGAAGTGGTTAAATACACAGACAGGAAGTGGTTAAATACACAGACAGGAAGTGGTCGTACGGTGGGCGGTCCTCCAGGATCAGGGCCGTGGTTGACAGCGGTTCAAACTCCACCTTCCTTCTGCTCTGCTGCCTCGCGGCATGATGGGAAGGAGAACTGCGTGCCTCGAACTCCTGCAATGACACAACACACACCTGAGTCACCATGGCAACTAACACAAACAGACAGGGACACAGTCTGAAGATGAGGAGCAGGGTCAAAGGTCACAGGTCAAAGGTCTGTACCTGCTGGATGGTCCGGGCCTGTTTGGACGGACTCTGTCTGGGAGGAACTTTACCAAACAACTTCCACCCAGCAACACTGTGACTGACGGACTGCTGCCTCCTGCTGCGCACACACACACACACACACACACACACACACGCACACACACACACACACACACACACACACGCACACACACACACACACACACACACACACGCACACACACACACACACACACACACACACGCACACACACACACACACACACACACACACGCACACACACACACACACACACACACACACGCACACACACACACACACACACACACACACGCACACACACACACACACACACACACACACGCACACACACACACACACACACACACACACGCACACACACACACACACACACACACACACACAGCGACTGCGGTGAGGATGATGTCCTGATGGAACCCGCTCTACCAGGTGAGCGACAAGACGCCCCACAGTGTACACAATTAATGGTTATATTGTTTATTCTGTGTAATAAATTAATGCCAATAAAGAACTTCAAATACCTGAAATATAAAATATTATCAATAAAGAGCCAAGGACAATTATCAGACGAGTGTCTGTGTGGTGGTTTTAGTCTCTCTGTGGTGGTTTTAGTCTCTTTTTGGTGGTTTTAGTCTCTCTGTGGTGGTTTGAACTCTACAAACTAATATATATGAACCGATTGATTGTGGTCTTGAGGATCTGCCGGGTCCAGGTCTGATGTGGTTTACCTGCTTAAGTACTCGATGATCCCCGGCATCCTGGACTGCAGCTCAGACTCTGAACCTCCACAGTTGTCCTGAACCAGATCACCTGGAGCGCTCTGCCTGCGACCGCACTCGAACGTGTTCCTGGAGCGAGGAGCAGTGGTGGGGGGGCCCGGTGGCAGCTCCGTGATGAAGGCCTCATCATCAGAGTTGACCTTCAGAAGGTCAAAGGTCACATCCCCCTCCAGTGACCCAGAGTCTGAGGTCGAGGTCACAGGGTTCACATTTACCTGAGAGGCCTTCGATGACCGTACAGAAGGGGCTGGAATATCCAGGTGGTGGTCAGTGCCCCTGGTAGACCCATCCCCACAGAGCCCCTCCAGCCAGTGATGCGGGTTAACCATTGACCCTTCAGTGCAGGATGCCACGCTGTCTGGGCACCAACTGTTTGTTTCCACATTTGGTCTAAACCTGTCTGTATATGATGTATTTGTGACATCATTGATTGTATAAGACCCTGCCCCCTGATCGTCGCCTGTCTCCTTGACATCAGAGGAGCTTCTGATTGGTCCTCGTTGGCCACAATCTGATCCAGAGTGATGTGAACAGGTAACGAGATTCTCCTTCCAGTCTGCTGAACATTTAACACACTGAACACCTGGACGGGGAGTGTGGCCCCGGGTGATAACATCAGCATGGGAGACAGGCTCATGATGATGATGATGATGATGACATGGCGAGGACTCATCTGTGTTGGTTACGGTCGCCGATGGAGACGAATCATCGTTTCTTTCCATTTCACTCCAACAGCCACAACAGGATGAAGACACTCATGCACTTCCTGTCTTTGACTTAAAAAATAAAAGTTTTGGAAGTCTGACAAGTCTGAACTTTATAGTCCATTAAAAGTTACACGTTCCTTCTACCTTCAGTCTCTTCAACATCACTTATCTTTCATCCATGTTCAGTGATCATTAACGGAGACTACGTTATCAGAGATCTGACAGCTCATGATTAAATTATAAAGTTAAAATCTAAATCTAAAATACCTGAGAACAAAAACTTTCTCAACAACCATCAAAACGCTAAAAAGAAAGTTCTGAAAGTTTTCACCATGTGAGGATGAAAAAGTTTAGGAAAGTCTTGTAGAACTGACATTTCATTTTTGTAAAGATCTAAATCCGTCCAGATTTAAAGAAATCTGGACGGATTTGTTTCAACTTATTGAAGCTCAAGTGATATTTCAGCTTTTATTTTAATGGGAGGTTTGTTTCTAGTTTCGAGTTAAATGATCTTCTGTTAGTTTATGACCAGACGCCAAATATTTTATCTTATATCCTCAAGTCTTCTTGTGTGGAGAAAAGATATGATCAGAATATAAATGTGCTTTTTTATTTATTTATGTTTTTGTTTTTTTGTTTTACATCAAAAGTGACATTTCAGGTATTATGTTGAAGGTGAACTCACTTTCCTTGTCATTATTTAAATAAAAGACTAATATTTTTCTGGTCTTTTTCTTGTTAGAGTATGAAAATCTTTTCAGGTTTAATGTCGGTAACTGGAAACAGGAAAAACACAGATTTCCTCTTTTTTGTTGGAAAAATCTTGTGCTTGCGATTTTTATTTTGAAGGTAACCCTCGCTGGTTTCCAGTCTTCTAATGTTTCGTGTTTTATTTTGAAGGTGGCCCCACTGGTTTCCGTTCTTGTTGTCAATTACTTATCGTTACCTCCTCTATGGAGCTCCTGTCGGCGCAGCTCGGAAGAAACAAACCCGGCCACTGCCCCTCATCCTCGGTGAATAGACAGTGGAATCCTGCGGAGTTTCGTACCGGGACGCGGAGACCTCAAGTCGGCAGAAACACGGTCGGTCGGGCTGCTCTCATCCTCTGGGATAACAGGTGAGCTCGGGGCGGAGAGGCGCCATCTTCTCATGTCCGGTGACGTAGGAGGGCTACGTAAGCGTGACGTTACATTGATTAAAGGACATCGAGGAATTTGGCGTTATATGGAAAAATATATTCATGATGACTATTGAAGATCAGTGTTGTAATCAGTTAATTGAAGATATTAATTACAATGAAATCAATTTTTGATCATTTGATAACTCAAATATTGAATTACTGGTTAAATTCTTTATATTTGTTTTTTCTGTGTTTTCATCTTGAAATAGAAAAAAAAAACTGGTTTGTTTTGATAATTTCACACTTCGTATTTTATTATATTTCTTTATCTTACTGTTTCAGCCCAATGTCGTTTGTATGTTCTGTGCTGACCGTATTCTTCAGTTTATACACTGTTGGTTGTGATTGAATGGTTTATGGTTTCAGGATAAAAGCATGAAAATATATTTATAACAACTACTCTGCTCACAGCAGCTGGACGGAGGCCGACACATGAACTCTGTAGATTTTATTCATATTTTTCAAACATAAAAAATATCATCTATAAAATTATAAAAAGCAACAATGTGCATATTTACAGACAATTAGAGCGACATAATTAACTTATATTCATGGTTTCAACCAACCAGAGTTCAATATTTCAGTGGGCGGGGCTTATATCATACAGGTGTCAAGTGGTTAAAGGTCACAGACTGTGTCCACAACAAATACAACTCCCAGAGAGCATTGCTGTAAGGATGGAGTTGTCTCCATGGTTACGGCCTCAAAACCCGGAGATTGTGGCTGTGTCTGATCAAAGGAAAATATCACCTGAATCCACCCACATCAACACGTGAGCTCTGATTGGTTAAAACAGGTCCTCTTCCTGTCTAACACCCACCACCTCGTCAACAAACTGAAAAAATAAATTCTATCTTCAAAAAAAATATCATTCACATTCATGTTTCTCTGAATGTTTAAAACTCAGTTAAAGAATCTGTGAATTTTAATCCAAACATCAGAAACTAAATGTAGTTTGTTCTTCGTGAATGTTCCAGACTCAACTGAAGAAGCTGGAAATTTTATCCTGTCAATCAAACACCTGAACAGAGCAGGTGTGTTTTCATGCGTAGCCGCACTTGTGCAGCTTCAGGTTGCGTTGGTCCGAGTATCTCTTCCCACACTTGTCACAGATGTACTGTTTCCCGCCTGCATGCACGTGTCTCTTGTGCGTCCTCAGGTGACTGCCCTGGCTGAAGGTCTTGCCACATATGTCACAGGTGTAGGGCTTCTCCCCGGTGTGGACACGCAGGTGCAGCTTCAGACTGTTGGCGTTGTTGAACTTCTTATCACAGGCGCTGCAGGCGAACGGCTTCTCGTCGGAGTGTGTGCGGCCGTGTGAGATCAGGCTGCTCTGCTGGCTGAACGTCTTGCCGCACTCTTTGCAGCTGAACGGCCGCTCACCGGTGTGAATCCTGCGGTGGATCTTCAGGTTCACAGACTGTCGGAAGCTCTTTCCGCAGAGGTCGCAGCTGAAGGGCCGGTCACCGCTGTGGATCCTCTGGTGATTCTTGAGGTTGACGGCGTGGCGGAAGGTCTTGGAGCACTGCTCGCACTTTAAGGGTTTCTGTCCGGTGTGGATGAGCTCGTGAGTTTTGAGCGTGACGGCGCGGGTGAAGCCTTTTCCGCACACATTGCAGACGAAGATCTTCTTGCCGGTGTGGGTGTGTGCATGGCGGTGCAGGTTCTGCAGGAGGTTGAAGCGACGGCCGCACACGTCGCAGCCGTACGGCTTCTCCCCGGTGTGGATGATGGAGTGCGTCTTCAGCTGCGCCTGCTTGGAGAAACACTTCCCACACTGTGGACACTCGTATGGCCGCTCACCGGTGTGCGTCCGCATGTGGCTCTGCATGCTCTGCCGCTGACGGAACGCCCGGCCGCAGACGCTGCAGGGGAACGGCTTCTCCCCCGTGTGGATGCGGTAGTGAGACTTCAGGTTGCTCTGAGATGTGAAGGATTTCCCGCACGCCGTGCACATAAAGTACTTCCAGGTGACGCTCTGCAGGACAAACTCAGGAACACCAGGACCTTTCTGCTGCAGGTCTGCAGGAACCGGCTGAGCGGCTTCAAGTCGAGCTCCTGGAGGGAAACATACAAATGTGTGAACTACGACCTGTTTGTTCACTGAGGTGGACTAACAAGAGTAGGACAGACCTGCACAGTTTCCTCTGAAGCTTCAGATCAGGTTTCATCACAGTCAATCATTCCAATCTCATACTGATAATAACAATGTAGAGAGACAGTTACTGTCAGAACCTGAACCCACAAAGACCTGGTCTCCATCTGAACCCTCTCAGGAACCCACAGACTGGTTGTGAACTTTACAACCTGACAACTGCAGCAGCTGATCAGGTTATAGACCATATTAACACAGCGGACATTTTCCTCTGACGTCACGCTCAAACTCTGTCACTACAGGATGATGTTGTCCTGCTGTGCTGCATATTTCAAGGTAAAACCACATATTTGATAAACTATGAGCTACAGCTAACGTTAGCATCAACCCCTTCTTAGCTAGCATTACTGTTTGACAGAGCTGCGTGATACAAGACGAGAGAATTGAATTCATTCTGAAACATCAACCCAGAGCTCAGACACGTTTAGTTCAGTCTGGAAGCGAAACACTGGATGGAATCAAGCTAGCCATGTAGCATTAGCTGCCCTGCTAGCTCTTCACCGGGTGAAGTTAGCAGTGATGCTCCTCTGTCATGTGACTGTATCACTGTGACTGAAACTATACAACATTAGTTCGTGTTTAATCAGCAGATTTAGTCATCTGACAACTTATGACTAACTAACATTGACATTTATGTTAATTGATATCTTCCTGTTTGCTAGCCTAGCATTAGCTTCAGCGTTTCTGGTATGGGCCAGTCTTCACTTTCAACATCTGGAGAACTCATCTGCCCATTAATCAATGTGGTCAAAGAAGGTGAAGTAAACGACGACTCACAGGATTCATTCAGAGACATTAAAGTGTTCAAGACTTCCTGGCCTCAGTGTGACGTCAGAGGAAAATGGCCGCCGTGTGAATGTGGTGTATTATCATTCATCTTCCTGCCATGTTTATAAACACTGTTAGAAACAGCTGGTTTCTGTGGTGACCAGCAGGGGGCGACCTCTGACCTGCAGCTGTATATGAAGTTAATCTACAGGTTTTTTCACACATGAACTCTTCACTAGTTAACCTCTCTGCAAAACTGTACTGACAGCTAACCAGATAACCAGCTACCCAGATTAACTAGTAAGTGACTTGTCAGATAACAAACTTCTAATTAAAACTGGTTCAATCACTGATGTTTGAACTGGTTTATTGTGTTTTACCGGTTAGTATCAGCTGGTCTGTGATCACTGACACTGAAGGAACCAAACCAGGAGAAGCTAAAGACAGCAACTCCCATGATCCCTCACTGCTTCATGATGTCATCAAACACCGTCTTTGATTATTGTTCTGAAGTAGACAGAAGCGACTTTGGGTTTAAAACACCTAAAACATTCAAGCTGTGAAGCTGTTGCTACTGAAACACTTCCTGTCAGCCTGTCAGAATAAAAGCCTTTAGGATCAATACATTCTGTCCCATTAACTACTGAAGGCTTTTAATGTGAAAGAGACAAAGGAAGTGCAAAATTAACAACAAACAGAGGGAGTGATTCAATCAGTGACAGATCTCTGTGTTTGATTGGGACTTGTATTGACAGATATTGATCAGGTGCTCACTCTCAGCGATGGCTCCCAGGTTGATGTTTCCGTGT